AACCCCACTACTAGAATAAAATATTTGTAAAATTGCAGGTATATGTAACAGATGATAATTGTTAAAGTGCTCCATTAGAGTAGTGTGTTGCTCTGGAAGTTGTATCTATAAGTCATTTACTCCATATCAGCTTATTTATCAGAAATTTTTATTGAAAATTTTGAACTCCCAATCACTTGAAAAATTCATAATAGGTTAACTTAAGTTTATCTTTATCTTCCGAAGCTTACATGTTCAACCATCAACGCCACACTCCCACTCAGCTTTAAACGATTCAATACTGTGTAGTTTTTTTCCTTCTTATAGCACGTGTATCGGCCTCACAACACACACACCATTCAAGTCAAGAGTGCAGTTCAAAAGCGAGACCTCAAAGACTCGATAAAACACAGTATAGTTTTATCAAGTAAATTTTCGATGTGACAGATATACCAAGTCATTGATATACCCGACCAATAATAATGCATTATTAATTTTTTTTTTTTTAAAGGGTAAAGTACAGCAACACCCCCTGAGGTTTGCTAAAAGGACACTCATATAAAACTTTACCTATTTTGGGACAATGACACCCCCTCAAGTTTGATACAGCTACCAAAGACACCCCAATGGTAATAAATTGACATTTTTATCCTTTAACTTTCATATTGACCAATTTGAATATTGAAATGACCTTTCTAACCTCATACCAATAACCATTTCTTTCTTTTTCTACTCTCTTCCTCTGCCCCAACACCAACACACACATACTGTTACACACATACACATACAGTCACACCCACACATATATACACACACACACACACAAGGCGGCGACGGAGGAGTCTCACTGGCTGACTCTAGATCCTTTGAGTCCGACGTGGCCGACTCTAGATCCGCGGCCCACCTTCGATTCTAATGACCCATTAAGACCCATAGTCGCTGATGAGATAACTGCAGCGATGGTTCAGCCGGTGGATGGCTCGGCCGTAATGGGCGATGGCAAAGATGATTGCGACTGGTTGGTTCGGCCGTGATGGGCGATGGTAGAGATGATGGCAATAGGCTGGTTCGCGGTAGACAAGGATGGTTCACTGTGCAGGCAAGGGAAACTCGGTCGGTGGAGACGGACTGGTTCAACCGTGGATGAATCGGCGGCAGCTCAGATGAGGGTGACGGCGGAGAGCAATATTAACCAAATTATTAGTCCTTTGTTTCAGATTTGCACCCAAATTAGTCCCATTATTTGGCTTCTTCGTCAAAGAAGATGTATGATTCGAATAGTGGTGAATTCCCAATTTGATTTGCCTATCACCGGTGCTTTTGGTGCAGCCATTGGGTTCTAGTCTGACTTTGGTAATGAATTTGTAGTGTGATTTGCAGTCACCGGAGTTGTTGGTGCCACAATTATGTTCTGGTTTAACTTGGTGGTAAATTCGTCGTCACTGAAGTTGTTGGTGCCACAATCGTGCTATGGTTTTGCTTCAAGACTTCAACTTTATCTCGAGTCTATTTTTTGGGAATTGATGGTTTTGGAGGCAAATTGGGTGATTGTAATATAGTGTTTTGAGATTTAGAAATATTAGTTTGGGGTGGCAGAGAAGTAACGTTGTGGTCTTATTTGGTTGAATTTGGGAAAAAGTTAGTAAAAATTGAAGAAAACTGAGATCCATACGATGGTGAACTTGTATTTGTTGATGATGATGATGTTAAACTAGTACTACCAGTAAATATATGGTGGCGGCACCAGAATATAGTTGTAACGACCCGAACCCAGGGGTCCAAATCGCTAACCGGGTCCTTAACCAAATCCGAGGACACACTAGGGGTAAAATGGTCATTTTACAATATGAGAGGGTAATAAAACCTTAAACTGGTCAAATGAAGTTTAAAACAATTATTCTAGTCTTTCAATGATGCTCAGTGAAGTTCTATGGTCATCGGTTATGATTTCCCAAAAGTACGCTTACCCGGTTCAAGAGAAATTCCGACACTATTCCACTAAAACAATCATAACTCTCAACATGAATGGAATTCGAAGATGTGGTTGGTCTCATTAGAAAGCTAACTCAAAATCCGTAAAAATGGACTCAAGAATAACCCTATTTGGGTTTGGAACAAAGAAGTTATGACCGTCCAAAATTAAGTGATCAAAGCTGATAAGACTGTGAAGCGCAAAAAGCCCACTGGAGGACTTGAACCGGTTCCCAATTTTTGAAACAGGTTCCACATGGGCAAAATGCCCAAACGTGATACAAAATACCCCTTGAACCTGTTCCCTGAAAGCTGAACTGGTTCCAGAAGTCCAGAACCTTGAAATTGCCCAGAAAAGCTTAAATTTAAACACTTGTGTACATGGTTACTCCCTTGGTCCCTTGATGACTTTATTTAAAGTCTAATCTTGTCCCAAATAATACATCTGACAGTGTATAAAATACAATTAAACTCCTGTACCTTCAATTAAACCGAATACCAGTCCAATACATCATTTAAAGGCCGAATTTACACAAATCTCATTTTATACAAATTCAAATGAATCAAATACAAGGAATGAGGCCTCCATGGCCAAAATTACATAGTTTTAATAACAATGAAATTAAATCCTAACTACATCAATAACCATGGGTGCCTATCATTCACCGGCTCATCTCCGAGTTCTTGAAAAATGTTAATGATAATAGGGCGAGCTCAATAACTCAGTAGAAAAAGCCTAAAGTACATTCCTACAAATATATAGAACTCACTAAAATCATAGGAAATTCGTAATTTAGACTTTTCCTACCTCAAGATAGCAAACCAAACTACAAGCTCCAAACTCGAATCCCACCAAAAGCTTGTAATATCGGTACCAAAACGTAACCTTTGCAACGATCTATAATTTGCTAACTCCGGCTTAACCATATATTCTTCTAGTATGAAGAAATTCTAGAGAAAAGGGAGAGAGGAATATAGAGAGAGAAAGAGAAGTGAGAGATGAAGGGAAAGTGTGGTCAGAAAATGGGGGGAGTATGAGTGGACCAAAAGAAAATGAAGCCAAGTCTTTGGCTTCTAGAATTCTCTAGGTTGGTCCATGAAACCTAAATAACAAAATGCCCCTTAAACTTCTTTATAACCTCAACAATGCCATAAAATATCACCCTCCATTTAATACCACTAATACAACATACATACATGTATATAAACACACACACACACATGTGAAATGTCGATGACGCCCTTCACTTAAGGTGAGAAAATTAGGGGAAGTTCCAAAGTCCGAAAATTGTCCTGACTTCCGAAAAATTCTAAAAATGAAACCGTCACTTCTAATTGACTTAAAATGATTTTAAATACACTGTTAAAACCCTCAGCTCAAAAAAATGACCAAAACGCCCGTTGGGGCCCGTGTGGCAAGCAAAACGAGGTAAAAATTAAAATAATCCAAAAAAATCAAATAAATTCCCGAAAATAAAAAATGGAGAAAATCGGTAACATTACAGTAGTTGCAGATTGTAGGATTGATTGGGTGCTGAGTGTAATTTGGCCATTTAAGTATTTTGATATTTTATAATTAAAATTAATAAAATAGTGAAGGGTAAAATGAAATTTTCACATGTTTTAAGGTCCCGTTTGGATGACAAATTTTACAAGGGGGTTTGATCATCCCAAAATAAACAAACTTTCATTTGAGTGTCCTTTTAACAAATCTCAAGTCATATTTCTATACTTTACCCTAAAAAAAATTAGCTCATCTATTTATAAAATTATTGATATAGAACTTGGTATCTACTCAGTTTTATCGGTTACTATGATCCTCCTAAAAATTTTATTTGTGATTAAACAATTAGCAATACAGAAACTTTTGGTTTATAATGTTGAGGTTAATGTGTTGTAACCATTGCAGTAACTATTTTAGTTAGATTAACTTAACCATAGTATTAAAAATATCATATTTTAGTCATCTTTTTGTGTGGTTGACAATCGTACACATGACAAGGGTCTCTACAAGTCATAATTTTGTGACATTTCAGAAGATATAATATGCCTGATGTGTACCCAGATTTTTTTTGATGATGATATTCCTTGCTTACAGTGGGGCCCTTACCATGACTTCCTTAAGGCCATCTGCACCAGCCTCTCCGAATTTTGACACACCAACAACACCACATCAGCTTTTCCAAGAGCCACATCAGCAATTTCAAGAGCCACATCAGCAATTTCAAGAGCCACATCAGCAATTTCAAGAGCCACGTCAGCAGTTTTCGCTCTCCAGAAACATGCACTCTATCAGGCTCTCCGAATTTTCGCTCTCCAAAAAAAATAATTAAAAAAAATTAAAATTAAATTTTTTTTTTTTCTTAACTTTTCCTAAACGGCTATATTTGTAACGGCTATATTGTTAACAACTATATTTTTAAAATTTGAATTTTTAACGGCTATATTTTTAACGACTATATTTTTAACGGCTATATTTTTAAATTTTGAATTTTTAATGGCTATATTTTTAAAATTTGAATTTTAAACGGCTATATTTTTTATCTTATATAATAAAACTCATTTGCTCATTTGAAAATCATCACTATATTCATCTCTCTCCATTATAGCAAAATATCATCATCCATCGTTTTCAATTTCGAAATTCAAATGGCTTTGTCATCACAAGCTTTTCCTTTGGCAGACTTTAATTCTTCATCTTCCTCGTCATCTTCTTTGGAAGGTGATCCTTTTGGGGCGTTGATTCAATAGGATTAAGACGAATTCTATGAGATTATAAATTCAGTGAGGCCAGAGATAGTTGAGCAAGTATTTCAAGTCCGTAAAAAGAAGCGGTAAATTCATCGTGACCGAGAGGGAAGCCACTATTAGCTAATGAAAGACTACTTCAACGAGAATTGCACATATCCACCGAAGTACTTTCACATGCGATTCAGGATGCGACGAGAACTTTTTCTTCGTATCCTTAATGATGTCAAAGCTTATGATGACTACTTTGTCCAAAAAAAAGGGATGCAACTGGTCATCTAGGGTTGTCTTCTATACAAAAGATGACAACTGCAGTTCGTATACTCGCATATGGTTGTGCAGCCGATCACTATGATGAGTATATTAAAATCGGCGAGAGCACTGCCATTAAATGGTTGAAGGCATTTTGTAATGCTATTGTTGCTGTGTATGTAGAGGAGTATATGCGCCCACCCAATGAAGCCTACATAGCACGGCTACTTGAAGAAGGGGAGCAGAGAGGTTTTCCAGGTATGCTTGGTTCTATCGACTGTATGCACTGGGAGTGGAAGAATTGCCCAGTGGAGTGGCAAGGCATATATAGGGGACAATCTGGTAAGAATACTCTCATATTGGAAGCAGTTACCTCACAAGATTGGTGGATCTGGCATGCATTCTTCGGAATGCCGGGTTCACATAATGATATAAATGTGTTGGATCATTCCTCGATATTCAACGGCATCATCAATGGCCAATTACCTCCAGTTAATTATGTAGCGAATGGACATCACTATAGAATGGGGTATTACCTGTCTGATGGTATATACCCTAAGTGGGCAACTTTGATGTAGACCATCCCGCACCCAACCACTATAAAAGAAAAATTATTTGCTCAACGACAAGAGGCAGCAAAAAAAGGTGTGGAACGGGCTTTTGAGGTATTGCAGATCAAGTGGGCAATAACGTAAGGACCAGTGCGTTATTGGGAGAAAGATGACTTGCGCCTCATAATGAAAACGTGCATCATCCTTCACAATATGATCATTGAAGATGAGCGTCACGCAAATATTGGAAGATGGACTCCGCCACCGGAGGATGCAATCCCGATTCCCACTTTAAGTCGATGCCCATCAGTTTTAGCGGCACACATATCCTCTTGCCAACTTCAAATTCGCAACAGAGAGACAAATACGCGGTTGAGGAATGATTTGATGGAAAATTTGTGGAACCGTTGTGCTGATGAAGATATTTAATTTATGTTACATTTTGTTTGCTTTTAAGATGTTATGACATTTCGTATACTAGAATTTTTATTATGTAATACTTTTTTAAGATTAAAAATAATGAATTGGAATAAGAAAATAAGTATTAGAAAATTCTATGGGAATAAGTAGATGAATTTGTAATTTTAAATTTTTTTTTTTTACAAAAAGTGTTAAAAAAAAAGTTTTATTTATTTATTTTTGGCCCAAATAAATAAGGATTACAAAATAAGGATTAAAAATAATGAATTGGAATAAGAAAATAAGGATTACAATTTAAAGCAAAAAAAAAAAAAAAAAAAAAATACAAAACAAAAGCTTTTTGAATTTATTTTTGGCCCAAATAAATTTCAACTTTAAGGATTACAAAATAAGTAATACAAAATAAGGATTAAAAATAATCAATTGGAATAAGAAAATAAAGATTACAATTTAAAACAAAAAAAAAATAAACAAAAAAGATAAATTTTAAGGAAAAAAACAAAAGGTTTTTGAATTTATTTTTGGCCCAAATAATTTTTTTTAAGGATTACAAAATAAGGATTAAAAATAATGAATTGGAATAAGAAAATAAGGATTACAATTTAAAGCAAAAAAAAAATATAAAAAAAATTTTAAGGAAAAAAAACCAAAAAAAAAAAAAAAAAAAGAGCTTTTTGAATTTATTTTTGGCCCAAATAATATTTTGAAATAGTCAACTGAAAAATAGAGAAAGAAAAAGAAAAAAAAAAAAAAAAAAAAAAAGCTCGGATCCAGATGCGTATCCCCTACGCCAATCTAGCAGAACCACACGTCATAACTAATTATAGGTCATTCATTAGTTCATGATTATATGTCAAGTGTCAAAACACAAAACATATTCTAAAATAGTCAACTGAAAAATAGAGAAAGAAAAAGAAAAAGAAAAATTTATGTCAAAAACCTTCAACTAAATCAAGCCAACCAAAATGGGTTCTTGAGCAAATATTGTTTGAAAGCCCTAGAACTCAAAATGTCCCTCTTTTTGTTCTTGTTACTTGGATTTGGTGTTGGGTTTTCTAGCATTAGCTGTTCTGAATCTGCTGCCAATGCTTTAAAACCAAGAAAACTAGCCTCTGATTCTCTTTGTCCATTGAACTTTGATGATCTTAGAGAAATGGCCAAGAAAAGCCACTCAGGGCTCAAGTTTGTCGATGTCCCAACAGAGTGCTATCAACTTCTTGAATCATTTCGCATAGTTCGATCCCAGTACCTTCGAAGCACTGGCTTTTTTACTATTCCTCCTAACGCCACTGATGCGTGTTGGGACTCATTTGAGATCCTCATTAACGAATACATTGGTGGGTTCGATGTGAGATCCAATTGTGGGGTTCAAACTGGTTGGATTTCAAATACTTGTATGAATATCTGGCAGAGTTTGAAGCCTTAATTTCTGAATCCCAATTGCAAGAAATTAGGCATTTGTGCAATGAATCCCTTGGGGACAATTCTTCTTGCGCGTCATGTGTAGCTAGCTTTTCAAGTATCCAAAAGGCCTATTTTCATGCCACTGGAATTGGAAATGTCACAGATTGTATTGGATACCCATTCATGTATACTGCAGCTTTTGCTAATCAGTTTGGGCCGACTGATTTAGGCACCAACAAGTGTTTGTTCTCGCTTGATCTCACTTCAGCTGTTAAAAGTACCAAGAAGCACAAGACTTTGCTTCGAGGGGTTGTGATAGGATGTGTTATTAGCATCTTGGGGTTAGTTGCTGCATTATGGTTTCTTTGGAGATGGCACAAGCAAAGAAGGACAAAGAAAAAACATGTTCATAGAAGCGCGAAAAGTTCAGCTTCAGCTTTGGGATTGACTGGTGAAAGTATTGCTTTGGTCAAGTTCACAATTGAGGAGATGAAAGAGGCTACTAGAAGTTTCTCTAGGAGGAATCTAATTGGAAAAGGAGGATATGGGAATGTTTATAGAGGCATATTAGCAGATGGATCTGAAGTTGCATTGAAAAGGTTCAAAAATTGTTCTATTTCTGGGGATGCAGTGTTTACACATGAAGTAGAGGTCATTGCTAGTGTGAGACATGTTAACCTTGTTGCATTGAGAGGGTATTGCACTGCAACAGATCCTCTGGAAGGGCACCAGAGAATAATTGTGTGTGATTTGATGCGTTACGGAAGCCTCTATGACCATCTTTTCGGATCACAGGAAACAGGGCTTAGTTGGCCGATTCGTAGAAAGATTGCACTTGGAACTGCACGCGGATTGGCTTATTTACACAATGCTGCTCAGCCGATTATCATCCATAGAGATGTTAAAGCCGGTAACATTCTTTTGGATGAGACATTTGAACCAAAACTTGCAGATTTTGGTTTGGCAAAGTTCACTCAAGATGGATTGTCACACTTGAGTACTAGAGTGGCTGGAACCCTTGGCTATGTTGCCCCGGAATATGCTTTGTATGGGCAATTAACAGAGAGAAGTGACGTATACAGTTTTGGGGTTGTGCTTCTCGAGCTGTTGAGTGGGAAAAATGCTGTTTTGTCTTTTGATGGGGGTCAAGCTCAGCTTTTGACAGATTGGGCTTGGTCACAAGTGAGGGAAGGTAGACTGATGGATGTTATTGAGAAAGGTATTCCTGAGTTGGGCTTGCCTGAAGTAATGGAAAATTATGTTCTGATTGCTGTTTTGTCCACTCATCCGCAGTTATATGCTAGGCCAACTATGGAACAGATTGTAAAGATATTGGAAAGTAACCATGCTATGGTTCCCCGGAATCCAGATCGCCCACTCTCCTTTATAGCAGAAATTAGTGATATTGAGAGATCACTTACATGTACTCGTTCGGGTTCTTCCTGTAGCTTGGTTGATCAGCAGCCATTTCACTTTGACAACCTGCATTCCAGTTTTGATCACAGGGAAGATGAGGAATCCACACTCACACATGCAGTGTAATTCACGGATTTTCTTCTGCATGGTACACTTAGGTCATGGCCCCCAATTGATTTATATATTAGAATTCTTGTTCCCATTTTAATAATACACAAAATTAGTCAACTATTTTATTGCAGAGAATTAGAGCTTGTATTATAGTTATTGTTTTTTCCTATACTACTGCTTAATTGTACGAATATGATTTGATCCCGAATTTGTATGTTAAATAGCTTGTAACTGCATAAAGGCAATGCTCAATATCCTAGTGATCAATGCAGGATGAACCTTTTTTTGTAGTCACTCTTTGGGATAAAGGCAAGGATAATTAATAATCTACAAATAATGAATCAACATATGGAAAATTATGTAGAACCTTGGAAACAGTTGCTTGTATGCATATATGTTTTACTTCATTCCTGTGAGAATTGCCGGATTTTCCTCTTGACACTGAAACCATTAAAGTTTCAACAAGAGGTATTCATTCAATGAATGATGTTAAACACAAATGATCTTTCACAGAATTGCCGGAACATGAACATTGGAAAAAGTTAGTCTGTTGCTTCTCATTTAGATGCTTTTAAACAACTGATCCGCCATTAAAATGTTGTAACTTATGTTCATTTGCTTTACAATGAGATGGTCTTTCTCTTGATTAGGTTAAAAAGTGTATACTTCTTTTGATCTGCATGTGTTATTCAGCCAAATTTAAGAATTTTTCGGAAATATATATTCTCCTTTCTCTCTTGCTTATGATTTAGTTACTTATAAGACCTCTTTACAAGAATACAACTCTTGGAGATTTTTATAATCTTGGTAAAATTGAAGGTATATGTAACAGATGATAATTGTTAAAGTGCTCCATTAGAGTTGTGGGCTGCCCTACAAGTCCTTTACTTCTGCATCAGCTTATGTGTCAGAAATTTTAAATTTGAAATTTTATACTCCTAATACTTGATAGAATTAAGTAGATTAAATTATGTTCATCTCGATCTTCTAAAGCTTACATGTTCAACCATCAATGCCACACTCCCACTCAGCTTTGAAATATTCAACACGGTATAGTTTGATTGGCTCCTATGATCCTTGGAAGGATTTTCTCAGTGATTAAACAACTAGTTATGCAGAAAATGACAGAGAGAAGGGACGGCAATATGAATCCGTGACACTCGACGTTTTGTACCATACACATAAAAATATTGTAATTAAATGGGAGAAACCAACTGGTATTATCCATAAAAGCAAGATAAAATGAAGTTTCCAAGAGAATATTGCTCCTGGAAGTACACAGATGGCTTTGCTTTAATGGAACATCCATTGTTCCCATATGCTATGAGAATATTTTCCATTATATAATTCTTGTATTTTTTTTTTCTATGAAAGGTAGGTAACTAGATATAGAACTGCTCATTTGTGTCTGATTATATTATTCTTCTATTTAATTTTTTTTCTTAGGGAATTGCTTGTATATGGTATTTAGAGACTTGGTACATGATTTGAGGGCACAAACTGATGAAACATTTGGTATGATAATTAATTAAGGTCAATCTGAAGGTTAAGAATATAAGATGAATCCAAATATGCTCCAAAGAGAGTGCTTGTAGCTTATACATGTTTGAGTACTTACATCCGAGACTGCCCATTTTAAAAGTTAGTTATGACCACTTCAAAGTCTTTAGCTGCCGTCCCAATCTACACTAACTGGCAAATAGTCCTCCGATGCCATCAAAGGCAAAGCTCTCTCTCTCTCTCTCTCTCTCTCTCTCTCACACACACACACACACACACAAACACACACACATGTAAGCCTAGCTCCCAAATGTCCCTCTCTTTATCCAATTCAATTGTACTAGTGTTAGGATTCTACTTGTTCAGCTTTTCAATTGCCAATGGCAATAAATTTTCGCATGAAAATCCTGCTGCCCCTTCTTGTCCATTAAACTTTAATGTTCTTCGAAAACTGGTCAAAGAAAATGGTGCGCCTCGTGCATTTATTGATGTTCAGAGACAATGTCAGTATGTTCTTGAAGCAATCCGTCTGATTAGGTCAGTGTATCTTCAAACACACGGTTACTTTCTGCCCCCTTCAGAGTCTTCTGAGGCTTGTTGGGGTTCATACAGGAGCTTAATTATGGAACTTGTACAAGATTTTGACATCAAATCTTCGTGTGGTTATCATCTTGAATGGATTGCTCAAGGTTGTATGAATGTTACTTCTCGATCACAGTTTGAAAGATTAATCCCAGAATCCAACTTGGAGGAGGTTTGGCACAATTGTAATCAGTCACTTGAAAATAGTTCTCAGTGTGCATTGTGTACTAATAGCTTGTCAAGTCTCCGTGCCTACCTTCATGAGCCTGAAAATGGGAATTTCTCGGATTGTTTTGGCTATCCATCTATATATGCTGCTGCTTTCATTAATCAGTTTGGACCAACTGATTTTGCAACCATGAAGTGTTTGTTTTCGCTTCAATTTTCATCAGGGGCTCCCAACAAGAAGCGACACACTATTGCACTTTTTGGGGCTGTATTAGGCTGTGTTATTGGGTTTTTAGGGGCTACTATTGCAGTTATGTTTATTGGATCTCGCACAAGAAATAGGAGAGAGAAGAAGACTCTCTCTAAAATTGAAGATGGTTTTGTTGCCCAGTTTGGATCAATTAGGGGAAGTACCAATCTGGTTAGATATAATTTTGAAGAAATCAGAAGTGCTACAATGAACTTCTCAAGGAAGCATATAATAGGCAAAGGTGGATATGGGAATGTCTACAAGGGGATACTACAAGACGGATCTGAAGTTGCTGTGAAAAGGTTCAAGAACTGCTCTGTGTCCGGGGATGCAACTTTTGCACACGAAATAGAGGTCATTGCGAGTGTCAAACATATCAATCTTGTTGGTTTAAGAGGCTATTGCACCGCGACAGTTCCTCTAGAAGGCCACCAGAGAATGATTGTTTGTGATTTGATGCACAACGGAAGCCTTCATGATCATCTTTTTGGATCAGAGATGAAGAAGCTTAGTTGGCCAATTCGTCAGAAGATTGCGCTGGGAACAGCGCGCGGGTTGGCCTATTTACATAATGGGGCACTGCCAGCTATCATCCACAGGGATATCAAATCTAGTAACATACTTTTGGATGAGTCATTTGAGCCAAAAGTGGCGGACTTTGGCCTGGCAAAGTTCAATCCAATGGGGATGACACATTTGAGCACAAGGGTGGCTGGGACTCTCGGCTATGTTGCCCCAGAGTATGCTTTGTATGGGAAGTTAACGGAAGGAAGTGATGTTTATAGCTTTGGGGTTGTTCTGCTTGAGCTTTTGAGTGGGAAAAAAGCTTTACTTTCTATATCTGAGGGGAAAACTACTCTCTTGACGGATTGGGCATGGTCGTTGGTGAGCAGAGGGAGGGCGTTGGATGTTATTGAAGAAAATATGCCTGAAATGGGATTGCCACGAGCAATGGAGCAGTATGTTCTTGTTGCTGTTCTTTGTTGTCATCCAGAGTTAGATGTTAGGCCAAGTATGGATCAAATTGTGAAGCTGTTGGACAAAGATTACCGATAGTGAATGAATGGTGAGCAGTACTATCTTGTGCTATATAATTACTTCTTTATCAGTGGCAATTTGACTTCAAGTTCAGAGTTAATATCCCATTTGTAGCCAAAAATAAGAATTAGGAAGCTGAAGAACACTTGTAAATGTTGTTACACATGAACCAATTACTTCTCCCTCTTGTATGCTGAGTCTATACTGCTTATTAGTTTTAAATTTTCTTGGCCTCCAATGTATAATGTAAAATGACGGATTTTTTTAATGTAGAGTGTTCCTGCATTGTATTTTTCTTTTTAGGTTTCTATTAATGATTTAAGCCGTTCATGAACTTAAAAAATTACTGACCAACGGCACCTGTGGCGATTATAAGGTTTAAGGAAGAAGTTTATTTTTAGATTCATAAATACATATAGGTATATGCAGAAGTTTTGAATGTAGGCAGGAGAAATTATGTGAAACCGTAAGGTTTTGTCTATGACATTGAACATGCCATCTCTGATACATATGACAGGATCTACAGTTACAACCTGTTTAACTTACAAGTTTTGGATCAAATTATATTGGTACAATTAGGCCATGGTATAGAGAAAAAAAAAATGTCTATAATACAAGTTATAATTCTCTGCAATAAAATAGTTGAATCTTATGGTTAAAATAGGAACAAGAAATCTAATACATAAATAAATTGGGGGCATGACCTAAGCGTACCATGCTGAAGAAAATCCATCAATTACCAAAAGAAGAACCAACCTCAAAGTAGTTTACACTGCATGCTAGCTTCCTCATCTTCCCTGTGGTCCAAACTGGAATGCAGGTTGTCAAATTTAAATGGCTGCTGATCAACCAAGCTACAGGAAGAACCCGAGCGAGTACATGTCAGTGATCTCTCAATATCACTTATTTCTGCTATAAAGGATAGTGGGCGATCTGGATTCCGAGCAACCATAGGATGGTTACTTTCCAGTATCTTTACAACCTGTTCCATAGTTGGCCTAGCATATAACTGCGAATGAGTGCACAGAACAGCAATCAGAACATAATTTTCCATTACTTCAGGCAAGCCCAACTCATGAATACCTTTCTCAATAACATCCATCACTCTACCCTCCCTCACTTGTGACCAAGCCCAATCTGTCAAAAGCTGAGCTTGACCACCATCAACAGACAAAACAGCATTTTTCCCACTCAACAGCTCAAGAAGCACAACCCCAAAACTGAATACATCACTTCTCTCTGTCAATTGCCCAAACAAAGCATATTCCGGGGAAACATAACCAAGGGTTCCAGCCACTTTAGTACTCAAATGTGACAATCCATCTGGAGTGAACTTTGCCAAGCCAAAATCTGCAAGTTTTGGTTCAAATGTGTCATCCAAAAGTATGTTACTGGCTTTAACATCTCTATGGATGATAGCCGGCTGAGCAGAATTGTGTAAATAAGCCAATCCGCGTGCTGTTCCAAGTGCAACCTTTCTTCGAATTGGCCAACTAAGCCTTGTTAATTGTGATCCAAAAAGATGGTCATAGAGGCTTCCATTACGCATCAAATCACACACAATTATTCTCCGGTGCCCTTCTAGAGGATCCGTTGCGGTGCAATACCCTCGGAATGCAACAAGGTTAACATGCCTAACACTAGCAATCACCTCTACTTCGTGTGTAAACACTGCATCCCCAGAAATGGAACAATTTTTGAACCTTTTCAATGCAACTTCAGACCCATCTGCTAAAACGCCTCTATAAACATTCCCATATCCTCCTTTTCCAATTAGATTCCCCCAAGAGAAATTTCTAGTAGCCTCTTTCATTTCCTCAATTGTGAACTTGACCAAAGTAATACTTTCACCAATGAATCCCAAACCTAAAGCTGAACTTATTGTGCTTCTATCAACATGTACTTTCTTCATCCTCCTCTCCTTGTGCCATCTCCAAAGAAACCATACCAAAGCAACTACCCCCGAGAAGCTAAAAACACATCCTATCACAACCCCTCTAGGCAAAATCTTGTGCTTCTTGGTACTTTTAACAGCTGAAGTGAGATCAATCGAGAACAAACACTTGATGGTCCCTAAATCAACCGGCCCAAACTGATTAGCAAGAGCTGCAGCATACATGAATGGGTACCCAAAACAATCTGTGACATTCCCAATTCCACTGCCATGAAAATAGGCCTCTTGGATACTTGACAAGCTAGCTACACACGTTTCGCAATGTGAGCTGTCCCCGAGGGATTGATTGCACAAACGCCTAACTTCCTGCAATTGGGGCTCAGAAATTAAGCCCTCAAACTCTGCCTCAGTTGAGATATTCACACAACTATTCGAAATCCAACTAGTTTGAACACCACAATTGGACCTTACATCGAACACTGCAAGATCTTCATTAATGACCATCTGATATGAATCCCAACAAGCATAAGAGGCGTTAGGAGAGACAGTAAAAAAGCCGGTGCTTCGAAGGTATTGGGATCGATGTATTCGAAATCCTTGAAGAAGGTAATAGCATTCTGTTGGGACATCAATGAACTTGCGGTTCAGCCCTGATGAGCTTTTCTTGACCAGTTTTCTAACATCATCAAAGTTGAATGGACAGAGAGAATCAGCAGCTAGTTTTCTTGGTTTTAAAGCATTGCCAGCAGATTCGGAACAGGTAATGCTAGAAAACCCAACACCAAATCCAAGGAACATGAACAGAAAGAGGGACATTTTGAGTTCGAGGGCTTTCAAGCAATGTTTGCTTAAGAACATTTGGGTTGGTTTGATTTAGTTGAAGGTTTTGACATATCAGTTATTATGAAATATATTGTTTGTTTTGACAGTTGAATAAATGGAGGGAAGCAACTTGGAAGTTGTCAATTGATTTTGGAATGTGACTTTCTTGAGTACTTACCCGCCATTTGTAGGCTGCGTGACAGCGTGAGGATTGGCAGCCGACTTACGAAAACCGCACCACATGTTCACTCCAACAAAATTAGACTATTTTTTTAATGATAGATAGGTTATTATTTTTTATTTATTTAAAAAATAGAGTATTTTTTTCCCGGAAATTAATATCTGAGTATATTCAATAATCAGAATTGAGTAAATGATGTTCGCAAAGAATGAAGAATTAATTTTCACACCATAAAATTAAGAGAAAGCTGTAGAGAAATGTGAGGTGTTATTGATAATTGAAGGAATAATATACTCTATCTAAAAACATAATAAAATCTACCATCAAAAGGAAAGGAAAGTAACAGTATATAGAAACCGTTCAAAATTCAAGTTTCTCTAAAAAAATGACATAAAAATAGATTAATAAACATATTTACTAAAACTATTGAATACAAAAATTTAAGATGATTCAAAATTGAAAAAACACTATTCGTGAACCCTAAACGATATAATTTGGCCTAAGAACATCATCTGCTGACTTTTGTGAGTTGAACCGATTCCAATCATAATAAAGGTTAAAATGAATTCGTCAAAACTATTTCAGAAAAATTGTGCTAGCATGTCCGTTTGGTCTTCTGGTGATCCAAACAGTTCTGAAATTATAAATAACCTATGCTAGTCAGTTTGTGTTCTCAAATGTAATTATTCGTGTAAGTTATTAAATGCAATGTTATGAATATTTTAGTAGGAATATAAATAATATTTAATATAATTATTTATTATATTTATAATGATGAATATTATTATATAACTTAAATTATATATATGGTGGATATTATTCATACTCTTCATATAAATCATTCATTATCTCTTATTTGGGATATTATAATTTTAGAATGACACTTGTAAAGGTTGTGAGCCTATTTTTCTTAGGAAATACTCTTGATGCTAAGTCACATAAAGTGAGAGTAGGAGTAAGAGCGAAAGTGTAAAAGCGGTAGAATTAAGTCATAAGTAGTAAGAATTTAAGCGAGAAAGTGCGCGTGAAACGTAAGAACAAGAGCGTGTTCAGAGCGTGAAAACGATATTTTGTTGAGAAGGATTGTGTGACTTAGGGCGAATGCCTCTTAAACAGTGGCTTCCAAAAAATATGACATAATTAAAGTCTCAAAATGAGACTATGGATTATGATATGCGAAGTACACACTGCACATGTCATAAGAACACAAGATTAATCTTATAGTCCGGGGTTGCCAAGTATCAAAAAAACATAAACATGGCAATGCGCACCCAGGCATGGTAGTTGTAGTGGCAGGGGTAGTATCAAAAAGTAAAAACATGATTTACAACACGTTACACTAAATCATTACCTGAAAATATAGTTCGCAATATCGATTACGGTCGCAGTGTAACGAATTTAGATAAAATTAATGTAAATTGACTGATATAAAGACTAGAAAAAGTCCGATACGTATCGGTCCATACGACGAATCATGTCTGAAAAGTGTTAGCACTTGCATATAATGTATCATTGCTTGGGAGCTCAGCTTTAAGTTTGATGCCCGAGGAGCTAAAAGACAAAGAGTGAGAAAAATTATTCTGAGACATTGCGGATTGAATAAAGGGCTTTTTATTTTTTTTATTTTATTTTTTTTGCTTTTCTATTCTTTTTTTTTATTTTTTATTTTTTTCCTTTCTATGCCTTAAGTCATCTTCGAGAATACCTCACTTTAAGGACCTTTATACCCCTACAAGTAAAAATGAAGTTAAATTGAAATAAATAAAATTTAAGACATAAAATACATAATGTGTATAACATAATTAGATAAAGTTGAATTTTTGATGAATTTTTGTAATTTTTATAAAATATTTTTACACCAAGTTTTGACATATTAATGAATTTTAAGCCGCATTCTCGTTATTCTAACATTGAATAATTTATATTTAATATTAAACTAATGAGTAAAAATGAAGTTAAACTTCGAAATAAGTAAAATTTAATAATTTATGACATACAATACATTATGTATGGAAGTTAAAGGTGAATTATATTTAAGCACCTTTTTGTAATTATGAATAGGAGAAGTTGAATTTTTATATTTGACATAAAGTTGAGGACACTCCATTTCATTTGCTTGTTTCCAATTGTCGCCCCCTTAAAAAAAATAAAAAATAAAAAAAGCCCAACCACCTAACAACTCCGGCCAGGTTTTTGACTTGAAAATTAGACAAATCATTTTATAACCTGAAATTGATTGGAAATCGCAAAGAAGGCATATTTTTCAAAGGTATGCCTAACTTTTTTTTTTCCCCTTTCTTTCCATATTAAAAATTAAAACCCTAACTTTTTCCTCTATTTTTTCCATTTTGCAA